TCTATATGTAGAGAAAAATCTGTCAAGCTAGATGTCGTATTTATACTTCTAGACGTTATAAATGACGCGTATTTATGTGCATTTGCACGCATATCCATTTAGATGCATCTGGTACCAAATCATGTTTACATGCATCCAAATCAAAATTCAATGCACCTGACTTCTATTTTTTGAAAACACAAACTGACTGCAGATATAGACGCAAGGTGTGAATATACACATTGGAATTCATTAGCTACATACAGTGAGGGGAATTTATTAAGACTGGAGCAGACAAAATCTGGTTGCCATGCACAACTGCTACAATCAGCTTCTCTTTTTCATTTTCACATCTTTAACTGAACAAACTGCATTTTTGTGAGCAGATTGCAGCTCATTGCTGTTACTGAGCAAACGTGCTAAAAACGTGCAAACCCACATTTTCAAGCATTTCCTATCGCGTCTATGGGGGCCAAAACGAGCTGTCATATGCCAAAAAAAAAACAAAAAAAAACGCTCCTGTACTTTTTCCAATGACAGGCATTTTGCTTATTGCGATAAAACGCTCACATGTAAACAGGGCCATAGAAACGAATGGGATTTTTTGAGCGTTTATTAAAGCAGAAAAATGCTCAGTGTGAACCAGGCCTAATGGAACAAACAGAAGCCGATTGGCTGTCATGTACAACTGTTCCAGATTTTGTCTGCTCCAGTTTTGATAAATTCCCCTCTAAAAAGCTTTTAAATGCATATAAAAGCATGTAAATAGCACATAGAGTTATAGTTACAAAAGTAGGTGCATTTAGGGATTTCTATGTCAGGAACTTGCGATTTCCTGCAGCAGGAATCCCAGATCTGCTGTCTACTTGAATGGGTTACAGCTGCCACTTATAAAATGATCGGGTGACAGCAGTCGTATTTGAAAGCGGCAGAGTGCTAGCACACGTAAATTGTATGCGATGCGATTACATGCGGTTAGGAACAGATCACTATTCCTGGATGCACGATTGTGTTTGATAGCAAACGGCATACAATTGTATCGCATATGATTATATGCAGTGTGCCAGCGCTCTGGTGCCTTCAGATACAATCACTGTCACTCGATCATAAACTTGAATGGGCGACAGCAGCTTTTGGATTCCTGCTGCAGAAAATCACAGGCAGCAGATGTCACCCATTCAAGTTAACGATCGGGCGACAGTGGTTGCATCTGAAAGCGCCAGAACGCTGGCACACTGCATATAAATCATATGCGATACAATTGTATGCCATTAGGAATCAAACCCAATCGTGCGCCCAGGAATAGTGATCTGTTCCTAACCGCATGTAATCATATCACATACAATTACGTGTGCCAGCATTCTGCCGTTTTCAAATACCGCTGCGGTCACCCGATCATTTACTTGAATGGGTTACAGGTGCCATTTGTAAAAAACAGCAGATCTGGGATTCTTGGTGCAGGAAGGCGCAAGTTCCTGACACAGCAATCTCTAAACGCACCTACATTGTAGGTGTGAAAAAATAAAAAAATAAAGGCTCTATTGTGCGACTCGTCTACCTTAATTAAATCAAATTGACTCATAAAAGGGAGATGCTGGCCTGTAACCACAGATAAACTCATCAAAAAAAAAAAAAAAAAAAAAAATTAC